TCACCCGATATCTCTTAGGCCTTTCATCCACGATACTACAGAAATATTCCATATGTAAGTTATAAAATAAATTAAAGAAGTGATTCTTACCAAGATTATTTGAAGAACAGGAGCAAATTTGTTAAAGTCGTCGATACCCTGTAAAATGAACGCAATGGCATTTATGCAAAGCATGAAACTTGCACTAAGATTTTTACAGACTTGCTACTAAGATGCTTTCATTTACCTAAATCTACGGAGAAACAAACGATACATATGGTAAAGATTCTGATTCTCGCTATTATTTTCGAATAATCGGAATTTGAATAAGAGAATTCAAACGAAAGAAGTTCACTTCATCGGTTAATATCGTTTCAACTACAATGTCGTTTCAATTCGTCGAAATAGACATAAATGAAATAGTATAAATGAAATCCTATAATAATTTTTGTTCAACGATTCAGAAGTCTCTAACGATCAATTTTCCGTTTATCACAGAGTCATTCAACAAACAGATTGAAAAAAAGAAAGATAAGTACATCATTTTCTTATAGACTAATAGCTATCTCATAAATTTTAATGTACACATACTCTATCTGTAATAATGAAAATAACATGATGTCACTGAATGTAAAAGATATCCATATCTTCTCTGACCAACAAAATGTTTTTTATTCTAAACAGTAGATTCGTACTTCGTGTCCAGCAGTATTGTTGAAACGTTCGTACCACGCTACGTTTCCATAGTATTACTCCAGAAATTTTGAAACACTGGCAGTAAGAGAAAGAGATACAATATACATATATCACGATTAAAATATTTACCATTTCGTTCACTAATAACATTAATGTTATGTCAACTATACGTGTATATATATATTATTTAGTGTTTCAGAAGAATGAAAGACGCACAAGCACTGTATTTGATATTTCTTATTACAAAGTATTTAAAAAGTATTTACTATTCTTGGGACAGTTTCCAAATCAATCGCGATGGAGCAGCAAATTTAATGTAACCGTGATGACAGGCAGTCTATTGACATTCTATTTTCCAGCGGTAAGTAAAAATGCTACAGATGAATTAAATACTTTAAAAATACTTATGTTATTAAAAAAATATTGTGAATATTGGTTACATGAAATTGATGAAAGGATATTGGATGCAATATAATTAGAGATTTTACTCAACAGTTTGCACAAATTTTTACGTCATTATACGAAAATGATCTGGGAGGGATGTTGGAAGGCATGCCTGTAGTGGCTTCGGTATCAGCTGTTTTAATAAAATTGCTAAATCATGAAATTTACAAGAAAAATGTATATAAATTTATGAAAACGAATTCTGCGGTAAAAATAAAAATCACTATATACAATTATTTTCTAGTTTGAAAAGATGTTCGATGTTATAAAGAAAGACTGGAAATTATTAAACGATAAGAGTCAAACACATATTCTTGAGGAAATTACTAAGCAAGGAAATAAGATTGGTGAAATATATAGAAGTAACTGTTGCAACTTATCTTCCGATAAATTTTATACATAGAATATGTTTTTGTGAATGACATGTTTCTGATATTTTCAGCTTTTGTATTGTCATGTATGTCAGGATTTATAGTCATTCCGTTATACCCTGCATTCTTAGATATCATCATACCGCTCAATGAAACTCGCCAAAGACATCAAATGTTCAGACTGACGTACTTTCTAGATGAAAATCGGTACTTTTATCCTATATATTTTCATTCACTTTGGTGTTCATTCGTAACAGTGATGATTGCAGTCACTATCGATTCATTGTATATACAGATCGTTCATCACGATTGTGCCATATTTGCTATATGTGGGTAAGTATATAATAATATTTTAGAAACGTTTCTACATAAAATCGCAGGCTGCAAGGAATGATATCATGAGATTTTCTTTGTTCGCTACAGTATTTGTAAAAAATAATAGAAATAACATTTTTTCGAAATTACTTCTATCTTGAATTCGATTTATCTAGCTTCTTTTAATATAAAGAAAAATGGACTTCCTTTATTCAGATACTTATCAATGATATAGGCAGAACATTATAACAGCAACAGGATCTACTGATGTTCGTATAAATGAAACTTACACTGAACGGTTTAGACAATGCTTGACCATGCATAAGAATGCCCTACAGTTAGTAATGATAAAGTTATAATTAACGTTATAATAATAAAAATGTTATAATAGAAAAAGTAGCAAAAGAGTTTACAGATTACGGTTGACTTTTTCTTTTGTTGTATTTTAAGATTATTCGAGATGTTAGATGACAGCAGCCGCAGGAGTTTCTTTTTCCAAATTTTGCTAACTATGGTCGGCATGACCATAACAGCCGTACAAGTAAGAATTATTTTGCAATTATAGAAAATATTAATGAATCAAATATTAAACTATATTGATACCTTTTAATTAGGCAGTAATAAATCTGCATCGACCCGAGGAAGCTCTTAGAATTGGACTGTTTCTTGTGGGCCAACAATTCCATTTGCTTATTATTACCCTACCTGGTCAAGTAATCACGGATCATAGTTTCGAGTTGACTAATGATATGTATGTTAACAAATATGTTTTAAACGTTAGAAAAATCATCAGTTCGGTATAACATCTGTATTAATCTTATATCTAATAGATACCGCTCAATGTGGTACAACATGCCAATAAATGTTCAAAGAGTACTTCACATGATGCAAATGAGATCTAGTAAACCATGTAAGTTGACAGCAGGAGGGATATACCAAATGAACATAGAGAATTTTGGAATAGTACGTACATGATTGTATAAAACGGGTATAATCATTTTTCGTCATGATGTAAGTAACGAAGTAGTAATTGATATTTTTTCATATCTTAAGACATTTAAGACATGCGTATCATACTTCATGGTGCTCCTATCATTGAAAGACTAATTCGTTCTCGGAAGAAGTTCATCCTGCCAATCCTGTTTTTGATGTAAAAGAATACCGAACAATGATCAACTATTGATACGAATATGGCAATGTGTATCTACATAGTAGCTAGTTAGATATGTATAATAAAAAGGTGTAAATCAATGTATGGTACAATAAATAAACGTACTCATAAACAAGGCGCTTATTTCGGTATTACTGTTTAAGCATGAAAACAATATTGTCTTGCCTTTTTACTTTGTTCTTTCATTAATTTCAATAAAATAGCACAAAACGCTAATACTATTTTCTAAGTAAAATACATAACGATACTTGTATTATGATCTCATGTTTGTCAGTTTTTATAATTTCAAATTCAATGCTCATAAGCCCAAAATAAATTGGGGAAACGAAACTTAGCAAGATCATTTTTTGTGAAGAAACAAACATTTTAAACTTGTACATTTCAGCAATACACGCTACGTAAAATGAAAATCAGTGTCATTTATGCAAAATATGAGATTTGCAACTAAGAGCATACAGAGATCTATAATATTGAAATATTTAGAGAAGGGTATGAATATGGAATATCCATTTTATTTTTTAGTGTAGAGTGTCTCAGAAGAGACATAAATAGAAAAAACATACGAAGAAGTTTGGGAAATGTTATGTGAAATGTGCTGTATAAACATAGATCTCGTGGATCTTATAGAACTCCAGATCTTTTTGGGGCTTTCGAACGTTTTTTTTTTTTTTAAATGAAGGTAAAATCGAACTATTAAAGATCATGGTAGTAGTACAGTATAGTGCAAGTTTTTTGCTAATTCTGTGCAAGCTACATATATTCTCAGCACTAATATCTTACAGTCTATCGTCACACGTTATAATAACTTCACTGCTCTAATGTAGTCAAATTTCTTTAGTTAAACAGCTTTAATAGCTTGTATCATATTTTTTTCGAAATAATTATTTCTTACATTTTTTTATTTTTTTTATCTAGCTTTATCCGTGGCATTTGAAGAAAAGATCGACATCCATTTGATTATTTACTGTATAAACTATATAGGCGGTCATATACCAATAAAGTATTTCTCATATTTCTGCCAATTCGTTCGTTTTACTTTTTCTTATGTCATAATCAAAACCAGAAACACTTCATTGATTTACTACATCTCGATTATAGTAGTATAACTTCCCGTTTTTGTTTTTTTTTTTCAAAATCACATAGTAAACCAACATGAATTTCACTTCAATAAGGACGTATAGATACTTCCTACTGCGACTGGAACGTAAAATGTACATTAAATAAAAGAACGATAACTATCAGCAATGGTTACTAGGAGAGACATTACATATCGATCGACATTATCAAAACTGTCAGAACTGTACTGTAACCGTACCTCTAAGTACCATACACAGAATACAATTTTGTTCTCTCATATTTCTACCCTATCTCATATTCGTAATCTCTCCTCTGTCTATATCTCAATATTTATCTTCGAGGTATCTATGTTCTTCAACAATGGGGGATCAATTCTTTGTCTTCCAACGAATATCCAACAAGCGACAGTTTTAGAAAGAGATGATTTATATTTTATGATGTGCATCCTAACTGAAATTGGTAGTCCCTTAACAGAACGATTACGTCATTTTCTTATAGGTATTTACATATGTAACTACCGTATAAACTGCTAATACAATAACACCGGCAATCAAACAGTTTTGCCTCGATACAATAAATGAAATAATATGAAAATACTGTCATTAAGTTTCTCTATACTTTACCGAAACAATTTACTACAAAGAATTGCTTCATGCATTTGACACGGCATGCCAGTTTTATTGAGTTTGTGGTTCCGTGCGTTGCGTTTCTTTACAAGTCGTTGTTTCGAAATTTGGAAACATGGACGGTAAGAGGAAGGGATACAATATACTTGTATTATACCGTGATCAAAATATCTAACGTTTCGTTTACTAATAATATTAACGGTATCTGAATTATATTTCTGTACATATTCTATATCGATAATTTTATTCAAATATAATTCATTCAAATAATTTTATTCAATTTTCGAAATATGTAGTATTTCAGAAAACCGGGGAACACTATCCTAATATATATGACATTCCATATTATAACACAATCAAGAAGTATTTAAGATTTTTGGGCTTAGATCCACACCAAAAATATGGATTGATCATTGTAATTATAATGGTGATTAGTATGACAAGCGGACTTATTCCAATGGTAAGGTAGACATATTGGGGATGCAAGTTATAGAAATAGTACTATAGTTAAAATGTGTAAAGTAATTGAATTCTGCGTAATAAATTAAACAGTCAAATAATGTCATTAAACAACTGGAACTTATAATTCATTAGTCAATCGTATTGTACGGATCATTATACACCAAGAATCTGGACATGGTGCTCGAGTGTTTGCCACATTTAGGTGCACTTTTGACCAGTGTCGTTAAAATATTGAATGTTCATCTAAACAGAGAAAACGTACGCAAATTTATTACTATTGAACAATCTTTTCGGAAGAAAGCATGTTATAAAGTTATGACAACACGTGTTATGTTCTAGTTTAGAAAATTGTTCGATTCTATAACGAAAGAATGGCAGCAGCTGAAATTAAGTCAAGATTTGTACATTCTGGAAGAAGTCACCATACGGGGCAGCAAAATGGCGAAATTGTATCGAAGTAAGTTATCGTGCCTTAATTTTGCAATCGGCATAATTCTAGTACACGTAAAAACGAATTCATACCACTAAATATTTCGCACATAAATGATCAATTCTAATCTTTTCAGATACTTTATTAATATGTATGGCACTTTTTTTACTCATTCCATACTTTACCGAAACAATTTACTACAAAGAATTGCTTCATGCATTTGACACGGCATGCCAGTTTTATTGAGTTTGTGGTTCCGTGCGTTGCGTTTCTTTACAAGTCGTTGTTTCGAAATTTGGAAACATGGACGGTAAGAGGAAGGGATACAATATACTTATATTATACCGTGATCAAAATATCTAACGTTTCGTTTACTAATAATATTAACGGTATCTGAATTATATTTCTGTACATATTCTATATCGATAATTTTATTCAAATATAATTCATTCAAATAATTTTATTCAATTTTCGAAATATGTAGTATTTCAGAAAACCGGGGAACACTATCCTAATATATATGACATTCCATATTATAACACAATCAAGAAGTATTTAAGATTTTTGGGCTTAGATCCACACCAAAAATATGGATTGATCATTGTAATTATAATGGTGATTAGTATGACAAGCGGACTTATTCCAATGGTAAGGTAGACATATTGGGGATGCAAGTTATAGAAATAGTACTATAGTTAAAATGTGTAAAGTAATTGAATTCTGCGTAATAAATTAAACAGTCAAATAATGTCATTAAACAACTGGAACTTATAATTCATTAGTCAATCGTATTGTACGGATCATTATACACCAAGAATCTGGACATGGTGCTCGAGTGTTTGCCACATTTAGGTGCACTTTTGACCAGTGTCGTTAAAATATTGAATGTTCATCTAAACAGAGAAAACGTACGCAAATTTATTACTATTGAACAATCTTTTCGGAAGAAAGCATGTTATAAAGTTATGACAACACGTGTTATGTTCTAGTTTAGAAAATTGTTCGATTCTATAACGAAAGAATGGCAGCAGCTGAAATTAAGTCAAGATTTGTACATTCTGGAAGAAGTCACCATACGGGGCAGCAAAATGGCGAAATTGTATCGAAGTAAGTTATCGTGCCTTAATTTTGCAATCGGCATAATTCTAGTACACGTAAAAACGAATTCATACCACTAAATATTTCGCACATAAATGATCAATTCTAATCTTTTCAGATACTTTACTGATATGTATGGTACTTTTTTTACTCGTTCCACTGCTTCCTCCTATGTTGGATATCGTTCTTCCACTAAACGAAACTCGACCACGACAACAAATACTTAATGTTAATTACGTGATTTTTGACAGCAATAACTATTTTTTCTACGTGTACTTACAGTTATCTTGGACGTCAGTAGTAGTTTCAATAATCATAGTTACCGTAGATTCTTTATTGATGCTTATAGTTCACCACAATAGTGGATTATTTGTAGTATGTGGGTAAATATGATTTACACAATACAATTATATTACATATAATTATGTATATATGTTACCGCTTAAAAATATTTGCACATATTTTAATTCGTTGCAACATAACTATAAAATTGTAGACGTTCAAGTTTTTCAGATGTTTATTACAGTGGGTCACGAAAGTACTTGAGCATCAAAATACTTTAATCTTTTACTTGTTTTTGTAGTAAATGTTTTATAGCTTTTATATTCGTTTATATTCATTTATATACGTTTATATACAATAATGACAGATGTGTCGCATTACTGTTAGTAAAATTTCAAAACGTTTTATGAAACATATGTAATGGATGTATACATGAAACAACATATATACTTTTGTCAGCCACTGTATGTACCAATAGACATTATGATAATTTCTTTTAATTCTCGATATATATACAGGCACCAAATCCAGAAAAATACAAGGCATTTAAATTCGTTCACTAATGAAGTTATGTCGGAACGTTATACATACAAACAGATCAGAAATTGCGTAATCATGCACAATAAAGCCATAGAGTTGGTATTTAACAAATAACGATAAAATACTACAAATTATCAAATTGTTATTGAACGACATTAATCATTTTTGGACATTGCATTTTTTAGCTTTTACGATATATTAGATGAAAACAACCGAATTAGCTATATGATTCAAATTGGACTAAATATGATTGGTATAACCACGACAGCTGTTCAAGTAAAGATATTCAGTGAAAATCTACCGTAACTTTAAAAATCATTAACCTAATCAATTGTTTTATATTTGCAGACAGTGATTAACTTCGATAGACCGGGAGAATCAATTAGAAGCGCTGTGCTGTGCGGTGCAAATCAGTTTCATTTGTTTATGCTCAGTTTACCTGGACAAATACTTATAGATCATTGCACCGAGCTAACGAAACAACTGTAGGTGTTTAGTGTTTTCAAAGCGTAAGTGCGGTAAAATCTCGAATATCACATCACAGATTAATGAAAATTTGTGGATGATCCTGTATATGACAGATTGAAAAATAAGAATAGGAATTGATGAAAATATTTACATTTTTATCCAAAAATGTTTATTCCCTTTTGATATTGGTATTTTAAAATACTTCAAAGTAAATGACGTTTTCCTATGTCCAAACAAAACTATTCGATTAACCGGACAGCGCATACCATGGTTAGATCGGATAATCAAGGTTCTACTGTAATTACTATCATGTCATTATTATGTTACTAATCATAGAATGTAATGTTTTACTGACATCGAAACAGATACAATTCTACATGGTATGGAGCACCAGTAAAAGTTCAAAGAATGCTTTACATGATGCAAATAAGAACTAGGAAGCCATGTACATTAACTGCGTGTGGATTATACCAAATGAACATTGAGAACTTTGGAACTGTATGTAACACAGAATAAGTCGATTGTAATTGTTGCACTATATCAACCATTATTTACAATCGTTTTCATTGTAAGACCTTCAAAACCTGCATGTCGTATATTACGATGATAATGTCATTGAAAGGATGAAGTTCACTATTACCTCCATATCCGTTGCATTTTATACTTGGACTGAGTAAGCAGGAAGATGGTATAATAACCGATATAATAGTTTGTCATTATATCGAACGTGCAAATAGTGTTAATAAATCACGATGATTAGTTGATATTCGTAAATTCGCAAGTAATACTGTGTACCTTCCCAAAAATTACTGTACTGGACCTTTTTAAATATTGCCAGAAAGAACAATGTGTGTATGTATACACGTTTACTAACGTCATCCAGGTAAACAGATATGATACAAGTACTCAATTAATCAATCGAGAAATAATTGTTTTTTTATTTTTTTGCATCACATACATAACATCGTTGCACAGTTATATGGGAAAACACTGCAAACGAAAACATAATAGCTCTGGTCGAAATTCGAACGACTTCACTGAGCAGTTACATGTTTATCAGCGAACGCGTTAGCAGTGCAATGTGTAATCAATGTTTCAGAACAATTACAGCTCTTGATCTTTCAAGACAGGTGGCACGACAATGGCTTACGTGTCATTTTTTACCTACTATACGGATTTACCGTAATTTGAACCTGCTTTAAAAATAATACATACCTCTCCAATAAACAAAATGATTCGCAGCCATATTTAATGACTTCAATTTCATACTTCATGTAATGCCGAGTATTAGTACAACTGTGTTTAGCAGATATTGTCCACCAGTTCTGGAAATGGATAGGTACATTTATATACTTCACGAACATTAAATAGTTACAAACAGAGTTACGCTTGCATGTGGTTTCATTAACGACTATGACGCTATTCTAAAAATCTGGACTCATGCACAGTAAGGTACAAAGGTACAACGAGATAATATTTACATCGCGATTGAAATATTTAAAATGGCCCGCAAAATTATTACATTTAATATTTCAGGGAAACGTAAACCAGTATCGTGATATGTCCGAAATCTAGTACCATAAAGTACTCAAGAATTACTTACAATTAGTAAGACAACACCGTCGTCAAAAACAAGGATTCCGGAAATACTAGCGCAATTGTAATGATGATTAGCATCACAATCATATTTATGCCATCTGTAAGGAGAAGAATATTTTTTAAAAAATTATTATGGATAAAAAGAAGAAACTGAAATGTGAATTACACGTAATAAATTAAATAATCAGGTAAGATTGATAAACAGTCGGAATTCGAATAGTTAGTTATTAGAAATATACCCAGGAATCTGTACAAACAATGTGTACGCCGTGCTTGAATGTCTACCGAATGTAGCTGCTTGTATGCCCAGTATTGTTAAATTATCGTGTATACATATGTATAGAAATGACGTACGTCAATTATTTATTATACAAAGAAGATTTCAGGCGACAGCGAAATGTTGAAAGGACATGCCACTTTATATATTGTAGTTTAACAAGATGCTCAATTTCGCGTCAAAAGAGTGGCAGTAGTTGTAATTGAATAATGAATTGTCCGTTCTAGAAAAAATAGTCCTGCAAGGCAATGAAATGACCCAATTGTATGAAAGTAAGATTAGTGTACAAAGTGATTCACGAAATCGAATCAATTCTTAAAGGTTGGACCAAACAACTTGAGTTTTTGTTTCAAGGCGTTAGAGAAAGTTGTTTACCCATATGTTTCAGAAAGTCATCAATTTTGATAGACCAGTAGCTCTTAAATGTGGTGTATTTTGTGGAGCCATTCAGATCCATTAGTTTGTGCTCAGTTTACCTGGACAATACTTCTAGACTATTATGCCGATTTAATGAAACAATAGTACGTGTTTAGTGTCGTATTTAATGTGGCCATCATATGCAAATTATCATACTAATCCGGAATATAACGTTTGACCGAATTGAAATAGGTACAATTCCACATGGTATAGCATATCGGTAAAAATTAAAAAAATGTTTTACGCGGCGCAAATAAGGCGAAAAAAGCCATGTGTCTCAACAACAGATGGATTCTACGAAATGAATATGGAAAACTTCAGTATATTGTGTACTTGTACAAGGCTGACATAGTTATTTATATGTACTTGTGTGTGTATACTGTAATTGTATATTATCTACTTTCCGATTATTTTAAATTTTAAGAGCTTCAAAACGTGCATGTCGTCTTTCACAATGATAACGTCGGCAAAATAATGCTTCCACGTCAGCTGTGGGAAGTATCATAGTCATTATGTTCTGACATTGAATTTGGACTAAGCAAGAATGCAGGTAATAGAAAAAATAATCGACATATATTGTTAATTTTATATTATTTAAATCACCCTATCGAATATGCAAATAAAATTATTGTGTAAGAAAATTACATGTCTAAATTAATGATTAAACATTATTAGTTCTTACTAGATTTCTTCCTTTACATATATATTATTCTTCTATTACATGTACACAGCAGGTTTCATCTTATAGTTCATCTTATAGTAGTATAACTTCCCGTTTTTGTTTTGTTTTAAAACCACACAGTAAACCAACGTGAGTTTCACTTCAATAAGAACATGAAGACACTTCCTACTGCGACTGGAACGTAAAATGTACATCAAATAAAAGAACGATAACTATCAGCAATGGTTACTAGGAGAGAGTGTTCTAGTCGTCGTAACGCGTGATGTACAAAATTCATATCGATCGACATTATCAAAACTGTCAGAACTGTACTGTAACCGT